TTTTTTTTTTTTTTTTTTTTTTTTGGCTCAAGTCATGATCCCAAGGTGGTGAGATAGAGCCCCACATCGGGGCCCTGCACTGACAGTGTGGAGCCTGCTTGGGACCCTCTCTCTCTCTCTCTGTCTCTCTCTCTGCCCCTCCTCCACTTGTGCTTTCCTTCTCTCAAAAATAAACTTAAAAAAAAAAAGAACACAGAAATGTATGCTTTAAAATGATGCATCTAATAGTATGTCAAGTTTATCTTAATTTTTTTAATCTTAAAGAAAAAAAGGATAGGTACGCTGAACACTGGATATAAAATTACAAAGGAAATTCAAGGACTAAAAGGTATAGTCCAGCTAGTTAAGATCTCTTCCAACTCTGAGAATCTATATATTTACTGAGAAATAAGATTTAATAGAAAATATTGCTACACTCAAAGCATTCAGATATTTATATATTGTAACACATATGCCTACTTATACACCTATAAATTATCTTCGGAATGACACACGAGACTGTTAATCGTTGTTGCCTGTGGTGAATGGAAACGATGGAGTGAGGTCTTGTGGTGAGAACTTCTAAGATCTGTATTCTAATCACTCTTAACACCTAAGGAGGTCAGTACAGTGCTTTTGTGCACTCACATGTTTATTGAATGTGTTAAGGAAGTAGGTACAACCTCAGGGAGGTAAAACTGCCCAAATTCACACACTCCATGAGAAGCCATGATGTCTGGACTTTGGTCCTTCTGATTCTAAAGTCTTCAGTCTGACCCACCACAGTCTACTTCTGAGTGGCGTAACTGAATTTTCTACTCAGGGTGGACCCATTTGCATTTGGCCTGCTCTAGAAGCTGTCTAGGTCAGAAAGGAAAAGCCTGTTAAGCGCCTGTAATGCAGCTACTCTATTTTATTTCCATGAGTGTGCTTCTGGACCTTGCTCCGTGAGACCCATCATTTCACCACCATCCACTTAGTGTTGACAGCGAGGAAGCCCTGGTCTCTTTCAGCCTTCTGTGTTTATTCTGCAGCCTTGCAGTTGGTTTTGAGTGACTGGTCAAGGCACACTTTCCTTCATGGGAATTTATGCACCAGTTAGTCATTACTCTTGGTTCCTGCAGATGTTACAGGATAATTAGAAGCAGTTTAATCCACTAAGCTTAGCCCATGTTTCTGTAAATTAGGTTATCTGCATACCTCTTCTGTACTGTTTGAATTTTTTACTGTGTATACTGCCAATTCAATATGAAATTTAATAATAAACGATAAAGGTCAGAAATTAAGCTGACCTCCCTGAAGCTAGGAAAACACCTTCTGACCTTCATCAATTAAAAAAAAAAAAAAGAGGGGCGCAGAATATAAAACAGGACAAAGGGATGGAGTAGTGAGGGTAAGGGACAATTCTGATGGTTACAGAAGCTGTTCTTTAGGAGGGATGTCTTGAGCTGGAACCTGACGGAGGACACAGCTCTCTGAGGTGAGGACTGCAAGCGGAGCAGCAAATGCAAAGCCCTGAGTTGAGAACTGAGCTTGGTGTGTTCAAGTGACAGAAAGAAGAGCCTGCAAGGCTGAAGCACAGTGAGCAGAGGACAGGAGAGGAGGTCGGGGAGAAAAATGTTTGGCCTTGGAGGTCACGGGAGAGAGTTTTAAGTACAATGGGGGAATTAAAGCAGGGGGGGCAACGCGCACTCAAGGCTGGAAAGAGCCCTGCGCTGCATCCGTCATAAGACTCCAGAAACCGCAGCTCTGAAAACAAGAAAGGGGCACTGCATGTCCTTAAAAAGGCGCCACTCCCACCCAGCAGAGTCTCCCGTTTTCAGGGGTTCTGGAGGCCAGAAAGTGGACCCTTCTGACACATTCAAGGGGAAAAGATCAATCTCAGATGGGGGACGAAGGTATAAGACCGGGCCTTTCTGAGCGGCGGCGAGCGAGAAAACGTTCTTCGGGGAAGAGCCGGGAAGAGAGGAGTCAGCCCAGCGAAGTGACAGTCGTTCTGCCGGGCGACAGGTGCCTCAGGAAACCCGCCGCTCCCAACTTTCGGGAAACCCTAGCCAGGCTCGCCCTCAGAGCCTCCGCCTTCCATTTCTCGAAGCGGCCGCTCGCCACATCTCCCTCAGGGAGCTCATCCCAGCGTCTGGCACAGCGCAGAGACCAAGTGAACTCAACTTGCGTTCCCAGAACGGCTCCGCCTGACGACGCCTTCGCTGACCCCGAAGCCTCAGCGGAGAGGCCCGCGGTCGCTCTTCCCGCCAGTCCCCAGGCCCCCTCTGCCCCCGCTCCCAAACCGGAGCCACTTTCTCCTCAGCCCCAGGCCGCTCCCCGCCTCAACTCACGGGTTGTTATTACTCATTGTAAGTAACAAGCTGCTGAGGAGCCGCACGTTAGAGTGCAGCCCCGCGGCCGCCATGTCTCGCACGTGGTCTATCACATTCATCCTGCCCGGCAAGGCCGCTGGCAGCGGCGGCAGCGGCGCGAAAAGCCGGTAGAAGCTCCTTAGGGAAGACTCCAAAATGGCGGCCTCGCCGGGGTCCATCGGGTCCACAAGCGGCACCGCCCCCAGGAAAATAGGCAACTATTGAAGTGCCTGAGGAAAAAAAAAAACCCACAAATATAATAAACTCCATTCCTTTCCCCAAGCATCCTATGAAGTGGAATGATTTGGTTTAGGGGTTGTTTTTGTTTTATTTTGTTTTGTTTTAGCAAAAGTTATGTCATCGTTCTAAGCGGCAAACTTTATTGAGGGCTCACAATGGGCTGGGGACAAAAGGCACTTCAGTATGAATACATGCTCAATTGAAATAAGATGGCTCGGGGAGAAATTTGTGTCTCAAAAATTAATAAAAACGTATGGATTTATCATAAATCAATACAGGAGAGTTGGGGGAGAATCTCCTACAGCTGGAGTTAAATATTTTAATCAGGCGCTAGGGGCAGGCTTAACTGCTTTTACAATCGGACTTGCGCACTAGGCTGAAGACACCACGCCCCCTTCTTTCAGCTAGTGTGTGTACCTGCAGAAGTCAGGCTTCACCCTTTGGATAACTTCCGAGGGTGCAAAAGGGTATATTTTTACCCTTTGAAGTGGCTCACTAGCTCGTAGTGAATAAGGACTAGGTTGAGTTTTAGCCATCTTAATATCTGTGGAGTGGTAACTTACTGTTCTAATTTGCAGTTCCCTGCTGACATACGATGTTGAGCATCGCATTTGCCAATTGTAGGTCCTCTTTGGTGAGAGAGATATCTGTTAAAATCTTTAGCCCATTTTTTATTTGGGTTGTTCATGCTCTTTTTAACTTTTTTTTTTAAGTTTTATGTAAGTAATCCCTACACCCCGTGTGGAGCTCAAACTCATGACCCCCAAGATCAAGAGTCACGTTCTCTGGGAACTGAGCCAGCCCCAACCCACCCCCTTCCAGGTTGTTCATTTTCTTATTGTTGAGTTTTAAGGATTCTTTGTATATCTTAGATAACAGTTCTTTATCAGGACTGTAAAATATTTTACAAATATTTTCTCCCAGTCTGTGATTTGCCTTCTCATTCTCTTGACCACCTGCTCTCTGTTAGGAAAAAATCACTTTCAGTAAAATCCTGAAATGAAATGACTAATAATGGCAAGAAAATAGTGAAAATATTATCTTAAAACTTTACATCTCATCTAAATAATTATGCTAACTTGTGGTCCATTGAAAAAAATAATAAATCACAGAGCTAGAACAAATAATTTTAAAATTTGTATGGAACCAGACGTCGAATAGCTAAAGTAATGTTGAAAAAGAAAACCAAAGCTGGAGGCATCACAATTCCAGACTTCAAGTTGTATCACAAAGGTGTAATCATCAAGATAGTATGGTACTGGCACAAAAACAGACACATAGATCAAAGGAACAGAATAGAGAAACCAAAAATGGACCCAAAAACTTACGGCCAACTAAGCTTTGATAAAGCAGGAAAGACTATCCAATGGAATAAAGATACTCTCTTCGGCAAATGGTGTTGAAAAAAATGGATCACTTTCTTAAAATAAATTCAAAATGGATGAAAGACCTAAACCTAAGACAGGAAGCCATCAAAATCCTAGAGGAGAAAGCAGGCAAAAACCTCTTTGACCTCAGCTGCAGCAGTCTCTTACTTGAAATGTCTCCACAGGCAAAAGGAAACAAAAGCAAAAATGAACTATTAGGACCTCATCAAGATAAAAAGCTTCTACACAAAGAAGGAAACAATCAACAAAACTAAAAGGCAATTGACAGAATGGGAGAAGATATTTGCAAATGACATATCAGATAAAGGGTTAGTATGCAAAATCAATTAAGAACTTATCAAACTCAACATCCAAAAAACAACCCAGTGAAGAAATGGGCAAAAGACATTAAGACATCCAGATGGCTAACAGACACATGAAAAGATGCTCAATATCATTCATCATCAAGGAAATACCAATCAAAACCACAATGAGATACCACCTCACACCTGTCAGAATGGCTAAAATGAACAACTCAGGCAATGACAGATGTTGGTGAAGGTGCAGAGAAAGAGAAACCCTTTTTCACTTCTGGTGGGAATGCAAACTGGTGCAGCCACTCCGGAAAACAGTATGGAGGTTCCTCAAAAAATTAAAAATAGAACTACCCTACGATCAGCAATTGCACTACTGGGTATTTACCCAAGGGATACAAGTATGCTGTTTCAAAGGGTGTTTCACATGCACCCCAATGTTTATAGCAGTGCTACCCACAATAACCAAAGTATGGAAAGAGCCCCAAATGTCCATCGACTGATAATGGATAAAGAAGATGTGGTGTGTGTGTGTGTGTGTGTGTGTA